TTGACAGCTGACGAGAAAGCAACTAACCGAACCAATAAAACTTTATTTCTACTGATAGAAATCGGCTTCTTCCGTTGGTTCGTTGTGAAAAAAGCTTGAGACTTTATTTAAATTCTATATGATACAATCAGATTGCCAATGAACTTTAAAATGCAACTATTCTGCTTTTCATTATCTAGGGTGTGGGTGTCGATGTGGATGTGAGTGAATGACAGGAGTACTAGCTCACACCCTCAAATATACGTTTTAACGCAAAGTTTTTAAAAAACAACGCTATTTTTACGTTTAAACACATATCTGAGCGTGTCGGTGTGGGTGGGATAGTGCTCCTGCTATTCACTCAGACCCACACCTCACATCCATTTCGGTAGTCATGAAGATAGACTTTACCAAAATACTCGAGTTATAGGTTTTCAGCTATGTTGAGTAACGTAGCAATATTCATTCTGCTCTAGCAGTAGTGCTTTCTGATGTTTCAGTAAGTGGAAACATAGGAATATATACAGTATATCTTCTTTTATTGATGATGTTCATTTTTCATGAATTGTAACTTCATTATTACTTTGTACCCATAGTGAAAAATCAACACGGAAAAGAAACTTCATTTAATCCTCAGTTTCTGTGACAGCATCTTCTGATTCCGTAGGACCATTGGAGTCACTTGCCATCAGATTATTGTCAAAGTCTTCAGCAAGTTGATCAACTTATTTGAACTCTTCTTCACATTTTTTCACATGATAAAAGTACTTCACCGGTTGCTCTGGTTGAAGTTCAGCCAGCGATTGATTGCATAATTGTGCTACATCAGCTATACTGAAATTAACCTTTATATTAAGTACATCATTTTGGAAACTGGCCCACGTGAATTCAATGGGGTTTAACACACAATGTTTTATGGGTATCCGTAAGATTTCATTATCATGTTTAGCTGCGAGTTTATCGACCACATATTGCAGTGGCGGGAAATTTTTAAAAACAAGCTCCAGAAGTTCAGGTTTTGTCATAAATATTTCATACCTGATGTTTCTTGTTGTTAAGCATTGCACGACTAGAAACTTTTCCCATGGTCTCTTTGGTGGCTGACTGTCAAGAATCAACCTGTTGTACCAGGCGGCGTAGTCGATTATGATAGCAATTCTTGTCTTTCTACCAAGTTCGTCTCAAAGTATTATCAACCCATTGAGGAAAAGGTTCAAAGTTCATAATATACACTTCGTCTCATTGGAATATGCCTAACGATACAAAGTGAAAGCCTTGCTAGGTTATCAGTCCAATGGTAGCTAGACGTTGACCTAATTAAAATATTTGTAGATTAGTAGATTTACTTAAGTATATTTTCAGGAAAAGCTTCTATTTACCTTTACCTTCTGTTACACGGAGATGACCGCGCTGCTGATGATCGAATCATATGGCTGCCTTCTCTTCGTTTTTATTTAGCCAGATTTTTTCATGTTAGTACAGAATTGAATTTGCAGACCGCAATTCATCCAGTTTCCGAAAATAACATGCACGCCGTGCTTGAAAACTTTCAGAACCCAAAAATACTTGCGTCTGTGCTGTTTGCTTGCATTTGAATCCGATGATTTTCATCTGTTGGCCTAAAGAGGTCTTTGATTGTGTAGAAAATTTTCCACCCTGGGTTAGTAGTGCATTTAACATATTGGAGACGGTTGGATAAACCTTCTCATTCAATAATTGGTCAAAAATTAATCTGATTAAATCTTGTTCAAATTCGCTAAGTTGAACTTTAGGCCGACCAGCAATGGATTCTTTTGAAGAAGATGGTGTGATTGAAATGCTCGTTGTTAACAATGACGAAGAGCCAGAAGATGTGCGACTAGATCTGATATTTTCTTCTTTTTCTACTACCTTGAGTTTCTTCATCTTCGATTAACATTGTAAAGCGGAATGGCAGGACCATTCTTCTCGTTTTCGACAAACTCAATAATAATAAATGCTGAATATTTCAATTCCTTCGAGAACTCTTGATCACGAGGCATAGCTATTGGATGATGTCCCCTGTTGCAAAAGTCTTCGTACAAAATCTTTATTCATTTTTCAGATATCTAAACATAATAAATAACAAACAAACGTAGTTATCTAGAGGCAGAATTTTTTATTCTTTCAGAATATATACTCAAAACTTTTTAATGACTTATAATTGACTAGGAATGAATTACACTTTCGACACAATCGAAAATGATACTTTTACAAAGAGTAAATGAATAAATGTTTGTTCATCTTTTTATATATGTAGTATATGCTAAGAACTATGCAGTAAGTCATTAGAATCAGCCGTATCTGCTCTTCTCTAATATATAATTAGAATATCAATTTTGCTTAAGATTGACTAATTGCAAATGACTATTGAACAGGATAAAAAAACGGCATCTCCACGAAGACATTATAAGTTTTCTTCCTATTACTTACTTGATTAAGTTAAATATTGAAACAATTCTAAAACTGCAATTAGTAGAGCGTTCAATCCTCTATAAAAGCATGTATTATAACAGATCCCAGTCCAAATGAGTAAATGGTTAACAGTACTTTATTTAGAAGTAATTGCTATGTTAAATAATGTTCTGCGAAAAAGCCAATTTTCTGAAATCTTCGATTTATAACTAGTACATTCCGTGTCTCTATTTCTGCATATAAACCAGAAGAGATAGCATAATGTGTAGCACAAACTTTGCTTTATAAAGCTGACTGATACAAATGATTTTATATTTTGCGCTGGGTAGGTTTTAATTAAAACATAAAACATAGCCAATAAAATTTTGTACAAACATCATTTTCGACTGTGGCAAAATTTTGATCCGTCCCAGATCAGCCATAAGCCAGAGGAATATTTTGATTACATATTCGAAAAAAGCGCAAGATTCTGACTTCAGAGAACTACTTTTGATCCTTACTCTTTCTGTTTGGGTGACTGAAACATGAAAAAAAAAATTTTCTACGAAGACTTGCAACAGGGGTTACTTTATTTGTACTTAATCTAAAATGCGACTGACTTCACTTCACTAAATGTGCAAAGAAATTTCTTTCTATCTCTGTCGTAAACTGCAATTGAACCCATAAATATGAGTAGGGAACTCCACAGAACTATAATTGATTACCTTATTTGTTCCTAACTATTATATAGTATGCAGCATACTGTATGTGCGCAAAGCGATAATGTATTTATAATCTATGAAAAATGAACATCATCAATAAAAGAAGATATACTGTATATATTCCTATGTTTCCACTTACTGAAACATCAGAAAGCACTACTGCTAGAGCAGAATGAATATTGCTACGTTACTCAACATAGCTGAAAACCTATAACTCGAGTATTTTGGTAAAGTCTATCTTCATGACTACCGAAATCCTAATCAGGACTACCAATATATGCAAAAATAAAGAGAAATTGTTATCCAAGATCTTCGTGAAAAACTGGAATTTTCAAGAAAACCCGAAGCCCCTAGCACTTCAAGGTTTTCAGACACGCATGACGCCGGTGAAAATGTAGCCTAGGCTGTCTACTATCGAATGGCGAAAATCGCAGATCGATAGCTTTTGTGCTTCCCGAGTTATTCAAACAAACAGCCACCTGTCCTATATTTTGGCGCCTATAATAGTATTAAATATCAATTAGAGAAGAGTCCGAAGGAAATTGTATCAATCAACAACCGAAAAAAGATGTGTGAAACATGTTTTGTCATTGTTTATCAACTTATATATCATGAGTAAGCAAGAGACAATAAGGTAGAAAGGTAAATACGAGTCATTCAAATGAAGATAGAGATGACAAAAGGCGAGTAAGCATGAGACAACAAATTACATAGGTAAACAGGAGTCGTATATATGTACGTAAATCATTTTATTTGAGTATTTTGGCTATATTGATCCTGACCGCTTTAGAAGCAGAAGTTATTCAAATGGAGATAAATTAAGTATGCACGCTTATTGATTGTCCATTGATAGTCGACGATTCGACATCAATTGAGAATAATACAAGAAGAGTACGTTGATTAAATAATCATTGAAAAGTTAAGACTATAGTTTGGTATCCTTTTCTTTCTTTCCTGTCTGTTTCATTCTATCTAGGGAAACTTCTGCTCACCTGTTTTGCCTCTGTTATGTCTCTATTATTTACGTGAGTATACTTGACACTAAATAAAATCGATAGGGCTTGCGTGAACTATGAAAAATGTTGATCTTTGTTATATAAAAAATAAACAAAAATCAGTTTCATCAATTTGAAAAATTTGACATAACGAATTTCTTCAGTTTTCACGAGGCGGCATCGGTGCAGTCGTCTCGTTTTATTAGATGTGGTGCATATCTGTGGTGTATGAATCTATATAGATTATGCAGCAAAGAATAAAATAGTATTCTCATGATTGTTTTTAGATAAACGATGGTATTTTCATGTGTATTACGTTTTCTTATTTTCATTCTAACGATTAAATTTAGTGCAAGTCTAATTTGTTATCAATGCGATGATATTTGGGTGACAACTACGAATTTAAAACTACCAACTAATTGTGTCAGAATGAATGTAAACAAGACGTATTGTGCAATGACGATTGTTTTTAATAATAATATCAACGGATATGTTCAGATTACATCAGAAAATGGACACCAAGCGTATCATTACGATGAAGATTTTGTTTTACTAGGATTAACAATGAGAAGTGATGGATCATTTACATATGGTCTTACTTATCATTGCTTAGCTGACGGTTGTAATGAACCAAGCTTAAAAAAAATTCAGTTATTATTCGATTCAACAACAATAGAACATAATATAAAAACTATTTTACGATTACTGTACATAAGAACACCTGAAAGACCCCTACCGTGTTCAAAATATACGAATTGTACAGACCCTAATACATGCTATCAACCCAAAGAAATAAATGTTGTATGCTCAAGATGTTTCACAACTATTAATGGAATAACCAATGCAATATGTGCACATTGCTTAGAAAATGTTAAACCAATCTTTGATATTCTTGATGATGAACGAGCATATTTATTAAAAGCGAAAACAACGAAAAATCATCATTATGAAGTATATTGTAACATGCCAGAATGCAACAGATTGGATAAGATTCAACAAATTCAAAAACTGCATCGTTATGATTTTGATTATGATCGATTCATGGGCAAATCTATATCATCTTTGCTATTATCAAACAAGAATATCATTTATTTTCATCTTTTTATTTTATGCATTTGGAATATCTTGTAAAATAACTTACACTCTTTCCTAAAATAAAAGAATATGACTTTGTACACTCTCCCAACATCGCTACTTTTCTTGCAATGGAGGTGGATGAGCGGTAACTCAGGAAAATAATATTTATTAGGATCAAATTAAAGATTTCATTGCCAAACTAGCTGTTTTAAAATTATCCAACCATGCATATATTTCTTCTTTTCTCTTTTTTTCCGCGTATTTCAATTGAACATTTTGTGTGTGATATAGTATTTGAGAGAGAAGATATTCTTCTATATAATGATCCACTATTCTCTTTCGTATAGGAAAACCTGTGGATTCTATACCTGCCATAGTTCTCATGATCGACAACTGTTGAACAGGAATGACTCGTTCCATTTTATATTGTCAATTCTAATGTGTCATACAACATTGAAAATAGAGTCAAAAGCTACACTAGAATTAGTGTTTCACTCTTTTTTCTTAAAGACAAAATTAATATGACGAAGTTTGTTCTGCATCTAAATACTCCTTGTAGTTAAAAGTTAGCTTGATGCATTAACCAATACAGTCGGATGAAATTAATACTCATGTTTATAGAAACTCAAAAGAGAGCTCAATAAATTAGCAGTCATTCAGTAAATTACAGCGTTCTGAGCAATGCGCACGCTCGTTTTTCTTGAGGGTGTGGGTGTGGTATAAGGGACTGCTCGATTAGTTTAATACCAATGTAGTCATACCCATACTCGTTTTTCTCGTCATCAGCCACAACAACACACTGCACCATTCACAAATTGGATGTAAAAGAAACAAAATAAATAATAAAATCGAACGACGGAAGAGCATGAAAAAAAACTGGAATGATTGATGTTGTAAAAACAGTGCATGACTCATTCAGTTGACTATATTTTATATTAGACACAAAAATAAAAGTCAGGGGGTGAAATATGATGTTCGCAAATGAGAGTGGCGTATTTCCTATATCAATTATGAAGTTTGGTAAAGTTTCAATTAACTTTTGCCGAAAAATGGTAAAATGATGTCGCATTTTAAAATGTCTTTCTTGCTTGTCACTGGTTTAGAAAAAACGTATAGGAATTTTTGAATTTCTATCAAAGTCGATAGGAAGTATATGGGTGTGGGTGTCAGTTTGCCTTCGTGAACTCAAAGCCAGACACCCACACCCATACATTCACTATTCTTATCAAAACTATCGATGAATTTACGACATAAAAAAAAAACGAATAATATTAATACTATGTTTATTTTTTCGTTACTTTTCGGCAGAATAATCAATATTTTTTGTTGTTGCAATTATTCCGTCAAGTATTTCACAGAAACATTGATATCGAAGCCAGACACACATGCATATATTCTGCCTGTTGAAGGCTTCTCGAATTACAGGAGGCGTTACAGGTATGCAAGGATGCAGTTACAGGTTCCACCCTGTTTACTGAACAAAATTTATCCGTATAATTTACGAGCAAAACAATATTGCACAAGACAAGTGTAATTTTCGCAATGGTGTACTGCGTGAAAATAATCCTAGTTAAAGGCCTCTGTAAATACGAACTGAGAATAGGAAAAAAACAGAGTGACTCATGATTGTTTAATAAGCATTTATATGTTGTTGATTGAACACATGAGTCAGGGGTAGATAATCAAAATGATGAAGTAATAGCCAGTAATAACATTTGATTAGTATTATGTACTTGCTTACATCAATGCTTGTCGCAACTTTTTTTAATTTTCAGAGAACTAATTTATGTTTCTTTCGGTATTTTGTGACCTCATTTTGTTAATTTTGTAAAATAAATGCGCAAAACAAATAGGATTCCTAGTATTTCGTATTTCAATTTATGTCTATATCTTTTGAAACACTAGATGAAACGACAAGAGCAGTAACAACAAAAGCTTATTGGTAATGAGATTAATTTTCATCGGAGATTCATATTTAACTCTCTATCAGCTGAATATATCTTTCGGTCAATATAACTAGCGAAATGAGGTATACGCTTATATTACAAAGCTTATGGCAAATATTTTTTATTTTCTCAATCACATAAAAAGATACGTGTTGGTCGTATATCAGACTACTCAAGCCTTGTTTTTGCAGTTAATCATGAATTATAGATTAATAGTTATCGTGCTAATTGTGTTACAAATTAGCTCAATTTCTTCAATTTTCGCTCGGTTGCGCTCCCAAAACGACTGGATCAACACGATTGTGGAGAAAACAGAAAAACAAACACCCATGACATACACATGTGACAAAACGTTAGTGTCTTGTGGTTGTAGTTATAATGATGTTCATCTCACTCAATCAAGAATTGTAGGTGGTGAAGAAGCAATACCTCATAGTTGGTCATTCGTTGTCTCCTTGCAACATCGTTCGCCTAACAGTCACTTTTGTGGTGGTTCAATCTTTTCAGATTCTTATATTCTCACAGCAGCTCATTGTGTTGATGATGAAACACCTTATCGAATACAGATTGTGGCTGGTGTACACAATAGGTCTGATCCAAATAATACAATTCGTGAAGTAGATCACATTCATATTCATCCAGATTGGTCACCATCGTCGAGGGAACGTCGGCATGATATTGCAATGTTACATTTATCACAACCACTCAGACTTGCTTCAAATCCATTGTTAACACGAATTTGTTTGCCAAACGTTCAGTGGCCAAACAATATTGAAACTTATCCGAGTAATGGTACACGTTTAGCTACAATCGGCTGGGGTAATATAAAAGAGAGCTTTTTCGATAATTCACCAGACAATCTTCATCAAGTTCAAGTATTCACAATTGATAATAATGATCCAATTTGTAATAAATCAATTTTCGACACACAACACAAGTACAATTTTGTGCTGCACTTCATGAAGGTGGCAAAGGTTAGTTTCAATCTATTCAAGTGTCTGCCTATCTCTCTTATACTTTTTTTCTGTTACTGTTTTTAGATACTTGTCAAGGTATGTATTCGCTAGTTTACTTATGCTTAGATTTTTCTAACAAAGTTTATTTGATTAGGTGATTCTGGTGGACCAATCTTACAATGGCTTGGCGATCGATGGGAACAGGTAAAAAGATTCATAAGTAAATAGTGATAAAATAGTTGTGAAAACTTTGAGTCACTCTTGCGGAATGGATAGGACAGGAAGCATAGTTAAAGAATATTTGGTTCACCTTCGGTATAATTTTAGTGTAATACCTACAGGACGTAAATGCTAAACGGTAAAAAACTACTTTCATTGTAATTACATGAACACGTAGCTATGTTAATCATAACTCATGGAAAGATCAAAGACACAGCATTTAAAGATGTCCATCACAGCCTTTGAGACAGAGTATGCGAAGGGGTAAGGTTCACTGTTTCATGTACCCCTTTTTGGCAATGAAAATATACTATATATTAGCCTTTAGGGGAACGTTTTTCTTTCGAATATAATCAGCGTGATTCTTTCTGAATGATTTAGACATACATACTTACGGTGTTTTCTTGTCGGGTATGATCTCAAAATTTGACCATTAAGTTGAAAGCATAATATTTTATACAGTTTTCTCTCGTGAAGGTCCGTACGAGTACGTATGACAGATTCGCGAAGTCTACGAACTGAGAAAAGACGAAAATTTCGTTTGATGTGTCATTCTCATCCGATTACATTCGACCTTCGAGGAAAATAAGTTCTTTCCTCTAAGATAATTTATAATGTAGGTTGGTATTACAAGCTTTGGAAAAGGATGTGCTGTGAAAGGCGATCCTGGTATTTATACACGATTAGCTTACTATTCTGATTGGATGGAATCCGTAACCGATGCATCGTCCAACGTATCAACACCATTACCACATGCTGTCTATCAATGTGATCGAACATCAACATGTGGTTGTGGTCAGAATGATGTTCCTGCGTTATCATCTCGGATTGTTGGTGGTGAAGATGCTGTCGAAGCTAGTTGGTCAATGATGGTTTCACTTCGCTTTCCTGAAGAATTTCATCAATGCGGTGGAACACTCTTATCTGAATCATTCATTCTCACTGCTGCTTATTGTGTTGACAATTTATCGATCGGAAGCGAAATTAACATCACGGTTGCCGTCGGTATGACAAATCGGTCTGATCCAAGACAAATTATACGAGAGGTCGATCGGATCTATATACATCCAAATTATTCCAGTCAAGCTCGTGATTATCGTCATGATATTGCTCTTTTACATGTCAAAACTCCATTCATCTACACTAATTATCCATTTTTGGCTAAATCATGCATTCATCGAATCGATCCACCTGAATTGACCATTCAACATCCAAGAAATGGCTCACATTTGACTGTAATTGGATGGGGTTTTCTAAAACAGATAGGTTCCGTTGTACCCGAAATGCTTCAACAAGTCCACGTTTATACAATTGGCAATGATCATCCGGCATGTTTGGACTCTATTTATGATCCACAACTGCAATTCTGTGCAGGAATTATTGAAGGTGGAAAAGGTTAGTAAGGAACGAGCTGGAAATTTGAGCATGGCAAAAAAAATTGTTTTTATCTCTTTCGATCTAAAGAAAATCGATTTTATCGACATAGTTTGAGAATATTTCGATGAAAATTATTCAAAAATTTGCATATAACATAAATCTGGATTGGTAAAACAAAAACAAAAATTTCCTTGAATTTTAAATCTTTCGATTCATATGGATCTCAAATGAAACTCTCCATATAAGAAGTATTCATCTTGATCTATCAATCTTTTTTCTTTGGTCTTCAGATTCTTGCCTAGGTATGCTATTGTTTTTTTTCGAATTTTTCATCATTTTAAATTCAACTCTATTGTTCATATACAACTAACTATGCAGGCGATTCGGGTGGACCGATTTTCCAATGGACAGGACGTTATTGGGAACAAGTAGGTATTGTCTCGAATGTAAAAGGCTGTGGAGATCCGGGTCGTCCTGGCATTTATACTCGACTGTCATACTACTATCATTGGGTGAACGATATTCTTCAAAGTCAAGGTGAACATTTGGAACCATTAAATCAAACAACGAGACCTTCAAGTACGATGTCAACCGCTGTGCAGCGAACGACATCACGTAATACGCAACCAACAAGAACGCAAAGCACTACGGTTGTTACTTGTCCATTTCCAACAACCAACACAAGCCATGGAAACAAAAATTATCAATATTTGCGCGCTGTTGGAATAACTGTTTTCATTGTGCATGCTCTTTCGTTGTATTACAGTGAATTTTGAAAGCTCAGAAAAAAACGAAGTTTTTGTAAGCAAAATACATCATAAAGACTGAACGAAAAAAGTCAGAAAATGAACAATTCATCACCGAGCGCATTGCTCTTCGAGTGACGTAACTTCAATCGAGGGTGTGGGTGTGTGGATATGATCATGCGCTAGAATGAGATTAACACACACACCTCAAAATGAGTGCGCCATATAAAATATTATTTGTTCAGGCCATGCTGACAGCGTGTTTTAATTGTCTAATCCCGTCATGCTCTTGTTAGAAGAGCTTTGTAACTGATACCTTGAATCAGATTAATTTTTTTATAAGTGGAGCGCTCTTAAGGAGCTGCTTTGAACTATAGATGTTAGCTATTCTGGGCCGGATAATAATAGAATGAAATATTCAAAGCGCATTATCAATATGTTCACAAAAGTACTATTTTACATCATGCATTCCATGAGACTATGGAACGGCTGTGCGTGTAGGTGTAGGTGTAGATATTGATATTGATGTCGCGTTGACACAGCCTCGCATCCTCATTCATACATACACACACACTCTTATAGGATCACTGCAGACGAAATGAAGAGAACATCATTTTTCCAAATTCTAGCCCATAGAAAAAGTTGATGACGCCTGAAATTAGCCAAACATTTGCACGACAGCTAGTGTTCCGGTCACAAGAGAACTGGTTTCTAAACACAAGCATACGATCGGAGGATCTAACCAGAGCAGATTGCTTAATCCGTTAACTGTTAATTTTGTTTAGAGTCATACAGTACACTTATCCAAAAGAAAAAAAGCTTAAAGAAGTTGAGTCATTTTATGAATATTACAATCTCAATCTGCTGCGAGACGATAATTGAGTATTTGTGATGCGTAACAGAAACCTTTGTTGAATAAAAATGTAGAAGAAAATAAATCCTGTAGAAGTATCAGTGAAGTGCAAAGTTTATTCAAAATTTTAGTACAGTGTGGCACACACAAAAACGTGGATCGATACAAAGCGCCACGTTACAAATGGTACATTGATATCTTGATTCATGTCTTGCTCAATTGTTTTCATGTTTTTTGTATGATTGCAAACGAAACATCGTCTTATTACATGCTGCTTATTTTCAGTAGAAGAAATCAACGAAGGAAAATGTCGTCCAACCAATCGTGCTGATATCGGTTCATTTGATGGTCTTCTTCTGCTAGATGACTGCGTCAGAAGATTATTCTGCAAGTTTTGCATCAACAGAGAACGATCAAGTACTATACGAAACTGAAGCTGTGTCATAACGTCACTATTTGCTTCATGAATGTGAATCTTATATAAGAGGTATGAATTCAGTATGGAGAAACCAAATAGGATCATGCATATTTTCTAGTAGTATTTTTTCATTTGTTTTCGAGGAATAAAGTAAAGAGCTAACATTTGGTCAGTGAGATCGGCTGTACTCATTGTATTGCATTCATGAACACAAGTTGGTCTTTCAGTTCGATTTTGTGTCTTCTGAATGATTACAGTGTTGTCTTCGTGGTAGTTTGATAACATGTTAGGCCACCCAGGTTGTACATTCCGGGGGTGTGAGTGCAAGTTTCGGTGTGTCTTTGTAACGGTCCTCTGTTCATCCATACTCACACTCACGATATGGTGTCCATTGAGCAAAAGAATCCAATAGCGAAATGAATTTTCAGCGAAAAAAATGCGCTAAAATTATTACAGCAAAATAAAATTTGAGCAAAATTAATTTAAACGAAAATTAATTTAGGCGAAAATAAACAATAGCGAAATCTCAAAATTTTGTTTTCAGCAGAAAAAAGTGGGTGTATATAATAGCGATTTTTTTTCAATAATATTGGTATGTCTATGTTTGATGATGAATCACCATTGAGGATCTATGTATATTCTAGTAGCTACTGTTTATTCTGCTGTTATCTACCTTGTAATCTGACATATTATTTCTGTGCATAATCGTCCACTAATGATATTACAATCTAATGGTACATATATCATTCATGTTGGAATTCATTCACGGTTTATCAATGCTTGTAGCTAAAAAATCTGCAACTGCTCTTTGATTTGGGTTGTGGGTGTGGGTGTGGAATTATTCTCCGTGCATGCCGATGCTCACACCCACACCCTATCTAACCTTGAGGGTGTGAGCGTGATTTTGACTGTAGCTACATGAGGGATTGTAATTGGGTGTATTTTTTAATGATCATGTCATTTTAATTCATTTTCAACAGTGAACCCACATGTCCTTATTTTGAATAGAATTCAAGTTATTCATATTTATTTAGATATAGAAATACACACAGGGGTTAAAAGAAGAAGAAAAAAAATACGAGAATAAAACGTCATCTTAGAAAAATATTCACTCAACCAAAAAGAAACACGATTAGATAAGTCTTATGGCTCTGATCAAGAGTCTTAGGTTGTTGTACAGTATTTGTAGCTTGTGCTGCTTGTTGCTATTAAATAAAAAACATAATAACTATTGCAGTTAGTCGCCACAATCGGTGCTAATGAATAAGCGCATACAGCTCCTGTGTAAAAGCAAACAGTTCCTGATACTGATGTACCAGCTGTGGCTGGTAATGTTCCATTAAAATAACCAGGATAGCTGGCACCACAAATACTCGTGGTTGTGACAGCAGTCGTGAGAAGTTTTGAACCTGCAGATCCTGTAATACGATACCAACCGGAAGCTATATATGAGATGGTATCAAATGGTGTATAGCAACAACCATAACCATTGACATAATTTCGATATGCATCGTTGATAGTCGTGTAAGCATAACATTGCGTTGGCAATGTAGCTGCAAAAATAAAGTATTCGATACTTACGATATCAAAATAGTTATACAACGACATGCTAGAAAAGTCACTAGGCTAGTTGATTTTTTACTCATTCAAATAACGAGACAGAGCTTGATTTCTTCTCTTGCCAAACACACGGCCGAAAAAATTAAATATACAAGGATAAAATGAGAGAAAAATCTGCTCACTTCACAAAAGTACAATAATACCATATCGGATTTAGATTGATTGATATCTCTAGTATCTTCTGGGGGCAAAAAGTATCCAACAGCATACGAAAACTTCGTAAAAGAAATTTTCCTATTCTTACTTGTCGTGTCAGTCGCTGATGCAGTTGAAGTTGTAGCCGATGATGCGCTCGAATTGATCCTAGGAAAATGCACACGAAAATGTATATACCACAACAGAACACGTGATGTTTTCACTCTTACCAAAGTGTTACAAAAATGCTTAATGGTATAGCACACAGAATAAATCCAACCAGTAAGAATACCAATTTCGTTGATGTCATTTTTTCACATACTTTGGAAAAACTGAAAAAGACATTAAAGAAATGAATGAAGGTTCTCAAAAATATATAAACGGTTTCGATTTTTGATCTTTTACTAAAGAAAGTAAATGTATGGAACATATAATATATGTTTGATCAGGATGCATAAGACATGAGTAATCATAACGGAAAAACTACCGAGTACGGCAAGATATGAGCAAGTAAAAAACGGCAAATTACCTGAATTGTGAGTTTGTGTTTTTATTTTGGTTCATTTCAATGCTGCCCAAATGATTGGAAGAGTTCCAATCATTCGATCGGGCCATCTGAGCAGTAGTTGATGGTCTGAACTGCGGTGTGTTAACTTGTGAAATGCTCACTTGTGAATTCAGTGGATGATTTAAATCAGTATTCCAACCACTTGATCGTGACATTTGATGAAGTTGAGAATCAGACCAGTTCGTAGGTGCGATTTGTTGCGGATACTCGGTTCTTCCTGGTGTTGTCATGTACGGATAAACTTCATTGGAAGACTAGTTATAAAATAAATCAGAAAACGATATATGCCATTTTTCAAGAGCTTAAATCTCGAAGAACAATAAGACTAAAACTTGGTTGCGATACCTACCATCATACTGCTTTCAATCAAAAATGTAAATGAATGATGACGAAACAGAATTTCGCTCTATCAATCTTGTTTTAATTTTGGCTTTATGTAAATATTGTCCGAAAGCATACAGTATGTTTTTGATTCTTTTCTCCAAGAAACATATTGTACTAGTGCAAATTCTATTTTTAAAGCATTAGCAACGGTATGAAATGTGATTATAGAAGACCTAAAAGCATATTCCAAGTTTCTCTTTCGTGCGCAATTGTTAATAATATCGAGAAGAATAAAAGATCAAATTGAAAAGCGTGAAAACACACAAAAATGCAGAAATATCACATGATGCTCTGATAGTACTCCATGGAAATATTCAGTTATTGATTATTAGAAAAAAAGTAATTCATTGTTGTCACGCCGAAAACGATCAAATATGTATGTAAGCAATAGTTTGAAATATGAACAGAGTAATTAAGCGCAGAAAAAATGCATGTCTACTCTAATAGGTTATTGTTTCATTAAGAATCAAGATTCAAATGATTGATGGAAAGCGGAAAATTTCATGACTTTGTAGAACTGCGTGCAACAGTCTCGCTCTTTTTTTAAATAAAAGCTACAATGGACCATCGTCTTTGCATACAAAAGTCTGGTGTATTAAGATATGGTTATGCGTTGTTACTTCATTTCAAATTGTTATAACACTTAGATTACACTTTCAAGTGTGTTCAGACTTCATCTGAATTTCACACCCATTTTCTATGTTTCATCGGAAAGTATATATCGAATCTTACGAAATATTGAACAGACCGAAAAAGCATCGAAAATGTTTATAGTAGAACAACAGTAACAGATATAGTTTGAAAGAAAAAAAAACAACAATAACGAATGCGAGAAAAACAACAGCAAAAAAAAAGAAAAACTCAAATTTATACATAATCACTTGTTTTGTTAGGTCCTATTGAAAACTTTACTTTTACAAGAAAAATGAAAAGAAAACACATGATATAAAAAAGAAAAAACTAAAATTTTCAGACTAGTGAAAATCATCGGTAGAAAGACGTCGAAAAATTCATAAAATTAACTATACTTATGGAGATCGAGAATTTCGCATTAATGGTTTATGAATCAAAGCCAATGGTTCACCATCAACACTATTATTAATACCATTTTGTGTTATTGCATGATTCGGATTCAAATCCCAACATGTTGCACAATAATATTTCATACATTTAAGTAAGCGACAAAAAAATTGTCCCATATTTTGACACCATTGTTCATTAGCACCTGCACAAGTTACACTATCTGATAGATACGGGTGGGTGGATGTGGGTGTGGAATTATTCTTCGTGCATGTCGATGCTCACACCCACCCACATCCACACGTACACTATTCAGAAATAGATATCAGACTTAGCTTTTAAAATCCCATTAAATTCCAAATTAAAATAAATATTGGAATTTATTAAAAAATTCCCATGATTTTGAATTAATTCGAATAAAATCATAAAAAATCTCAATAAATCTCGAAACAGAAATAAATACCCCAATTTTTTAAAAGATCCTAATAAATCCCAAATAAATAATTCCCGGTAGCTGCTGGTTGTTCCTAATAAAGGGTATTAGATTCCACAATAGATTGACTGGAGTGTACGGGAATCTATTAGAAGCCACTTCAAGCTACTAAATACGTCGGAGGCTACCGCAATGCACCAAAAACTGATTCGCTTTACAGCAATCTTCTAACAATGTAAAAAACATGGATTCTGCTGGATTAGGGGTGTGCAGCTCTCGGTCATGAGTGCTGATAAGCGTGAGCGTTTCTTCTCTAAATAGAATATGCAAGAAATCAATAATAATGAACCCACTTTAGCTATTTTCATATAAAAATGCATTATAGTATTTCATACAGTTTCTTATCTAATACATTCAATCGATGTATTTAAATACTTGTTACTCGATGAATTGACAATAAGCGCTAGAATAGGCTCCTTGAAGTTTAGAAAATCATAGTTTCCGAATATTTGTTTCTTAAACTCGCTCATCTTACTACCGCAAACGACCAAGGAACAAAGCTAGGATCTTATTATATATGCCTAGTAGGGGTAACATATTACTATTACCGGTAATAAGCAATAACTGTTATTTCGAATTAATAGTACGAACTAAAAGCCAGGAAAATTAATAAAGTAAAAAGGAAGAAATAAAGCAATAAAGAACTTGATCGTGGAATTACTTCTATTTATCGATATATTTCTACTTTCTCACCACTAGGATTACAACAGATCTCAGATCGTAGTTCAGATCAAATGAACGAAAGAACTGCGGAAACAGTTCTATTCACTGATTTGTCCATAATCGCTAGATTACCTGCATNTAGTAACTACCTTAATTACTTGTTACTAGTAAAGTAAGATGAAATTATCATCCCACCCACACTGCACAGAAGAATACAAGGGGTGTCACTATATATGTACTAAAATGTTGCACAGATCAGCCTGGGAAGTTTTCACATAGTTCTAATTACCATCCTGGGATAGGTTCAGAAAGGTACAGGAATACCCCCTGACAGTTTCTTAAAAGTTCTAGGTATCATCTGTAAGTAGATCTCAAATAGCTACAGAGACCACCCCTGGGTAGGTCCTAAAACTTCTGACTACTCCCTCTGACTGAGTCCTTAGAATTTCTAAGTACACCACGAATCCTGATTTTTCATTATCTTTTTTTTAAATTGCCCAGTCAGCAGCAACAGCTATGTGGGTGTAGTTCCTTCTATTGTAAAAATACTCAATATACGTTCTATTTGAGTCGAACTTTGCGTACCGCAAAATTATGAAACTAATCTATGTGCACAAAAGCGGTAAAAGTGACAACGCGTTGGCAATGATTCATTGCGAGCAGATCCCGTCGCTTAAAAGTGAACAGATGGTTAATATTATTAAGTTGACATTTCCTGATTAAATAAGAATTTATGACACTTCCCATGCATAATACATTTCTCCATTGATTGCGACCAAAAAAAATAATCTCAGCTTTATTTCTTGAATGACATCATATCTCAATGATTGAGATTTATTATAATTTGCTTATTTGAATGTGTAGCAAAATATGAGGGAAGTAATGAGGAGGAAAATCTGGAAGTGAACAGAATCGAAAAAAGAAAAATTCTGACAACAAAAGCTTGAAGGAAGAAACAAAAAGACGTAAAATTTGTAGGAATTTGAAACATTAGCAATCTCCCTTAAGAAATACAAAGAAGTGTGTGGTCCTAAAAGCGAGACCCATGATCCTTGCGGATGTGTGTGTGTGTGTGGGATGATAATTTCATCTTACTTTACTAGTAACAAGTAATTAAGGTAGTTACTAGTTACTTTTGTAAAGGTAAATAAAAAATTTGAGAGTACTAATTAAGCGTAACAGTTCCCTATTGCTTTGCGAAAAACGGATAGTATATGTATGCACTATCTTGACAGTGTGCCTGAGTATGAAAAACTTAGCTAATGAAATCAATGATGAGTATAGCACAAAATCCTGGGTCGAACGCAGATTATTAGAGTTTTAGAACAAGCCATGGGACGAATCTCAGTAGGTTTATTGTTTTTATTCGATACCCAATGCTCACTTACGCTTATACAAGCGTTTGATCAAAGGTACCTTCGAAAACAAAATTATGAGTAATTAGATCAGTGGGAAGCTAGCACGACGGAGCTAGCACGATGAAACAGAGATTCAACTATAAGTCTTCTCAGAAGTATTGCCGGTCCATAAAAGCCAGACCATTCGATACAGAATTTAATTCTGAATCGGATGGTGATAATTTTATTCCCCAGCAATACTTTGAGAAAATTCTATCTGGTTTTTCTTGTCCTATTTAGAAGAAAGCAAAGATGTAGGTAAAATTTTTCCTAAGTATTGTCGGGGAATAAAAGTATCACCATCCGATTCAGAATTAAATTCTGCATCGAATGGTCTGGTTTTTATGGACCGGCAATACTTTTGAGAAGACTTATAGTTGAATCTCTGTTTCATTGTGCTAGCTCCGTCGTGCTAGCTTCACACTGATGAGTATTAGCAAGTAATTTTTATTCTGAAGAATCGGTTTAATCCCGCAGCGTGACCACCAACTCAGTGGTACCGAAAGACAAAAGTAGTCTTATCAGAAGGCACCCAAGAGGGCCTTGTAGGATTAAGTAACTATATAGGAATAAAGACACAAAATATGCCATACTGCAGAGCTTTCCGAGGTAATTCTAATGGTATGTAAGAAACATTTCTTCAGCTTATATTGTGAGCAGGTTTCTAAATCGTCCTATATTTCCTATATCTCGCGAAGACATTCCATAGCTGCCTATTTTCGAGTTATTTTTCCTATTATCTCTATATATCTGAAAAAAGTGAAGAAGTGTCACTGAAGCTCTTTCTGACCGTTATATGGATGATTTGAAGAAACACACCAGCGCATATACACATGCCCTGGCTACTTCCAATTCGTAATTTTTTTATTTGTACATATTGTTTAGGAATTTTTTTTATTTATTTAGTGAGGTCAACCAGGGAGCAAGCTTGTACAAATTGTAGATACAAAAAATATTCAAATGCCTTTTTGTATACTTTGGTGAAACACGATCAAAAATGAGTTTTGAAGTATATAGGGTAAAATGTGAATCCATTCTCTACCCCCACTGACTACACTGTAAAAATATCCGCAGAATAATAAACGGAAAAAACGTTTTTGATAGGTTATTTAACAAAAAAAAGGATTTATGAAAGTGCAACGTATCATAAACCTTTGTTTTCCGCATATGACGAAGATAATAAACGGTTTTTAGGTTTATGATTTAGAAAAAGGGTTTATCAGATTTTTCAAAAACGAAACAAGGGTATGTGATACGTTGCACTTTCATAAATCCTTTTTTTCTACAGTTTAATTAGGGGTGGCACTTTAACTTTAATAAAAAGTACTGTAAAAATGAAAAATAATTTTTAACTCTTTTTGTGCAATTTCATGTGGTTTTTAGAGTAACTTTAAACTTTAGACTTTAAAAAAGTTCAGTAGTGTCAAACTTGAAACTTGAATTCAGTTGAAAATAGAAAATTTCAACTTTCAACCATGGCGATATATGTGTGAGTCACCATTCTTCAGAATGCTATTGGTTTAAAAGTTGAAAATTGAATTCGAATTTCAAGTTTAAAGTTATTCTAAAAACCATATAGAACCGTACACAAAGAGCTAAAAATTGCTTTTTATTTTTAAACTACTTTTATTAAAGTTCAAATTTTAAAGTATTATACTGTAACTTAAAGCATTTTTTTTAAAGCTTACAGTTTAAGTCCCACCCCTACCACCGACCATGACAGACGTTTTAATTAATTAATTAAATAGCTAATACCCAACTAATTAAGTTGGGCGTGGGTGTGATTTCCGTTTACTCTCACACCGACACCCACACCCTCAACTAATAACTGACTACACCGATTGTCCAACTACAAATATCTATCATGATTAATACAAATTCACCACAATTCAATAAATATAAATTCTCCGAATTAACAGACAAGCTGTCACCTTATGTCGATGATCTCTCAAATCATCAAAAACAAATTGGAATTGAAACTCTACAAGATTGCTGTTGGACCAGAAGTCTTCAAGAACTTTCATTCTTTTGTCAACAACAATAATGTCAACCAGAAATACCATTAACTTTTCTCTCAATTTTACATTATAATATGCGTCATTTTTATTCGAACCAAGTGAATCTTGTCGAAATAGTAAATACTATCTCTCCAACAATAATATCTTTAAATGAACTTGGCACTGTGGTTCCGGCAAAAACAATTGAACAACTTCTCTTCTCATGCAATGTGTATGTGAAAGAAGGTACAAATTATCATGGAGGTGTCGTAATTGCAACAGATAAAAAATTAAAATGCCAACCAATATCAATAGATGAACCAAATATAGTAGCAGTTCGCGTGATAATCGAGGATCAGCTATTTATTGTAGCAAGTATTTATTCACCACCTACAGAAGCATTACCATTAGCAACTATGACAACATTATTGAATGAGTCAAGGAACTTGATCTTAGCAAGAGATTTTAATGCCAAACAATTGAATTGGAAATGTACTCAGGTGAACACAAAAGGAAGAATTTTATCAACTTGACTCAACAAAAACAATCTGAGCATTCTAAATACAGGTACTAAAACATCATTACGTTCTGATACAACAATTGATCTGATAATTTCCGGTGAAATCCCTGAACATCTGAAAGTCATTGTCTATCATATACAGACAGTGACCACCTACCGACACTGACAAAATTTTTCAATCTTAATATATCAATGGACAAGCGCTTCGTTCCTCGAACGTACTGGAAACTTTACTCATCAATTCTCTCAATTCTTTATGATCAATATGAAGAAAAAAGAATATAGAACTGCCACAAACATCATTATAAAATAATAATAACTTTTTTTATTTTAAATAAATTTATTTCTATCAGAAATAAGCCTTCTCAAAAGTTGAGACACTGGCTCGTGAGGCAGATTGGAGGAAAAGAACCACCAAGGAAAGTATTCTCACGAATAAAGCATGTGGTAATGCCATAAATGACACCAAACATATACTACGTGTAGTTAGTTAAGTCATATTCAATAAAATTAAAATTAAAAAACTGAATAGATAAATAAATAAATCCAACCTCTTTATTTATGCTCATCTACTTAATTATGTAAGAAGTTAACTGATAGTAACCATATATATTAATATCATTCGTTAGACTCATCATATCGTACACTCCAATTCATTTATTCCTTTATTCATAGATATTAAGATCTAACTCATCGCAGTCAGCCAATTAACATCGCTCATCTGATCTTAAACTTCAACGATATTTCATCTAGCGCGTCTAATCTCATACTTTAACTTAACATACTTTATCCCATGAATGCAATTAATTTACTCATCCGATGGTACTTTAACTCATCTCATCAGCAAACAACTTATCAATTCAAACAAGAATCTACTTGAACATAATCAATTCGAATACTTAATTCAAATTACATCAATCATCTACATCCAACTCCAATTCACCAATTTATCTATTCAACTTTAACGTATCTTTTACTCAACATGCATATACTTCAAAACTTTAATCGATTCTATCCATTCACTCTTCACTCTACTTCTTCAAATACATCCTTATTCTCTAATTTCTTCAACTCATTCTAATCTCTTCACTTATACTAATCATCTAGCGTTATTTATAATTTACTATCTCACTCTATTTTCTAAAATCTATTATTCCTATTTAATTATATAATCACACAACAATGAGCAGACTTCACATATAGAAGAACTAACTTACAACATGCAGATGTGTCACTATCATAAGTGGCATAAATATACATAAAGAAAAATATAAAATCAAGCATACAGTAAAAATAAAAACAAAATATCAAATATATAAATAAAAATAAACATACAAAAGAAAAATTAAATATCTAACATACACAGTAAAAATAAAAATAAAAGCAAAATATCAAACATATACATTAAAAATAAATAATATAAAAAAATCAACCTAAATAGTAGAAATAATAACAATAATAAATAGCATAATACAAGAACAATAAAAGCAACTTCAATAATCAAAATAATAAATAAAATAAAAAAATATTATCATACTTCACATGGATAAGTCTAGCTATCTACATCTACATTACTAAGTCTTACATTACATATTTCAATAATAAATCCAGATCCTTAAATAATCCAATAGTTCATTTCTTCCTTTCTCCATAACTTCACACTCGACTACCTTCCTCTACTCGAATATTGTAAATTCTCCTTTCTCAATGTATTTCGTTTGTCTTATTGTGCACCTTCTACTTAACTAATTGTAACTTTCAACATTGTTTTTCTTGATGATGTGTTCAGCGTAAACACGAAAGCTCGAATGACTTTTTATTTCTGATAAAAAAATTTATTTGAAATAAAAAAAAAATATTATCATTTTATAATGATTTTTGTGGCAGTTCTATATTCTTTTTTTTCATATCTATTTCCTACTGCTATATCTTCTCAATTCTTATTAAATCTTTATGATCAACTTCAAGCTGAACAAGAAATTCTAAAGATGAAATCCAACAACTATTTCGCTTGGTTGCTTATGTTTGAACAATTTCTAGCTGCTCTCAAACTTCGACTAACTATATGGAAAGAAATAAAACAAAAACGACCATCCATTTCACCATCAATACGAATGCTCCTTCAACACAAGTACTACTTACAAAATAGACATCGACATTCAAGAAATGAATAAGATCAATTAAGATTACGCTCTTGGAATATACTTGTCAAACATGAATTTCAAGCCTTAAGACAACGAAATTGGGAACACTTTATATCTAACGTCGCTTCTCCAAACCCAGCATCATTTTGGTGCACAGCGAAAAATTTGATTAAAAAGAAATCAACGGATTTTTGTGCATTAACAGATGAAAATACAACTCACAGATCCACAACTGATATCATTAACTGCTTGAACCAACATTTTACCGAACGTGATGAACTTCCGTCATTGAATGTGAACAATTCACTTGAAAAAGAAGCTGATGAGCTATGAAAATTATATAGTAAGGCAGACGAAGATGATATTCAACTTAGATTCAATCAATCTGCTCTTCAACTTACAGAACAAGATATTAGAAATATCATCCGATCATTAAAAAAATAAAAGCTCGTCTGGACTTGATCAAGTTTCTAACAAAATGATCAAACTTCTACCAGTACAATATCATATTGTTCTTGCTGAAACATATAATAATCTATTTCGTACAGCAGATTGGGGAAAACACTGGAAAACTGCTCGAACTATTTGTCTCAACAAAATCGACACTCCAGCACCGACTACAAATCAATTGCGTCCAATTTCAATGTTACCAATCTTCAGTAAAATCTATGGGAAATTATTTCTCCTTCGATTTCATAGTTGGTCTTCAAGAATGAATATTTTACCCGTTCAATAATCAGGTGCAAGAGCTCATCAAGCGACAACATCCCGACTCAACTACTTATTGTAACAACTAACTCAATCTCTTCAATACAATTCTTTTTCACCAGTTATGTAAATTGATTTTTTACAAGCGTTCGACAATCTCTGGTATCAAGGATCGCTGCTAAAACTGAATAAACTTAATTGTCCCTCAGTCTACTTTTCATGGATTGTCAATTATTTCATCAATAGAACTGTCGAAATTGGCTACAATAATTCACAATCGATGCCAATCAACGTCAGACGACGTGCTCCCCAAGGGAGTTGTCTTGGCCCAATCATTTTATATTATCAGTCATCATGATCTTCCCTTAGTTTTTTGAAAATTCATCGCATGTCCATGCATATATGGACGATATTGCTATTGTCTACACACCTTCACTTCATCTAAAATATAAATTTCAAGTACTCGAAATCGAAGAACGCAACAACAAGGATATGCTAAAGTTGCTACATTACACGAACACATGGCATCAACCTCTGAATTCGAAGAAGTCTGAATATATTTTTTTGTCACAATTCCGTTCAATGTGAAAAATTAGAAATTTTCTATAACGGAATGAAAATATTACAGAAGAAAAATTTCAAATATCTTGGCTTTTACATGGCCGCGAAACTATCTTTTCGTACTATGATTAATGCACAATTTGTAAAATTAAGAAAGTCATACCTATTTTGATCATCTATTGGAATTTGTTCTTGATTAGATCACTTTATTCTGTTGCATATACTTTCTTTCCTTCCTTTTGAACAACTAACTATTTTGGTATCTTAACTTCTTTCTTTTCTGTGCGTGTGAATATCGTTGCAAGATATGAAATAAGACGGCCAGCGCCACGTGACGAATTTATCATTAGAAATAAATAAAGCTCTATATAAAAAAATTGAATAGCAGGTACAATCCTATCAGAGAAGGTTCCCTTGCCAAAAAATAATACAAATAATAATTAATATCACAAATTAATGAAACCTAAATTTTAAGGTTAATAACCGCTATCGCCACTGTTATGATCTATTTATATAATACTTGAATTAAAAGGCGTGATATTGTAACGGAAAAATATTTAAGTCGCGTAAATATTCTTCAAATAGCTATCGAGATATATAGAAATGCGTATATGTCCTGATAGGGTGATGGACAAAAAAGTGTAGATCAGTATCAGCTATATATTTTAGCCACTGTGTGTATAATATTAACAACAATTCCACACAATAAGTTTATTCTTGTCCAAAATGAATTCTGTGTGTTGTCTTTCAATACAACCGAATACAATCATACGCATTACAAAGCACAACTTTCTTCTAACTTGACTTGTTTAGAAGCGAGCTCGACTCAATTGCCCAACTGTAACGAAAAAGAGAAGGAGTTTAACTCTACCGTTATACGCGGCATCGATGTGAGTTGAGCTACTTCATTCTAAGTCGTTATGACAAATAGAGAGGCATAGTTTAATATGTTACTACACGATGTTCATTCAACTATACTCTACATACAAATGTGTCCATCTAATACAAAACACATGCTTATATGCGCCACCAAGAAAGAAGAGAACGGAGAGAGAAGAAAATACATAGAGACACAAGTTATTGAGAGAGAAGGGGATATGGAGAAAGAAAAAGATATCTAGAGAGAAAAGATACACAGAAAGATTACGTACTGTTCAGTGCGCGATTATGTGTTGTCATACGCAAGGATGAATATTAGTGATGTAAACTTAATTACGCCACCGCAATATGTTCATCAGCTGTGTGACTTGCCAGTGGACTTCCGGCGGTTCATATAATCCCTATTTAATCTAGTCCTTTACGAGGGACATACTTCTTAGAACAGATATTTCCTATCAAGTAGAACAAATCTCTTTTTTTTATTAACTGATAGTAAATATCAAACAAAAACACTAATATGTATTTTCGAAAGGGAAGAAAACGAGAAAACACACCATCTTAACAATATGTAGATGTCCTATCATGACACCTATATTCTATATACAAAAACAGATCACCATCGGTGAACCCCTCTCAATCTCTCTAAATTGAGAAAGCAACAGTCGAAACGCCCAGTTGGAGTTTGAAATCTGAAAAATTCTCTAACACACCCCATACCCATTTTCTTGACATAACAGTAGAAAAATATATTCATTTTGAATATGAGTAAACATTACAGAACGAAACAGTTTGCTACATTACTACGCATTGTAAAAAACAGTATACACTTATTTTCGACGTTTTTTTACTTTTCCTTCACGAAATAATAGAAATTGGGACCCCATCAGTGAGTCCCGAAAAGAAAAATAACGATACAGAGAAAGAAAAATTATTCTTGCAAGCAAGGACAGGTGAGAAACAAGCTCGCTGAGAGGTATTAAAATCAATTGATGTGCTATGTCTGCTGAAGAAACGCACGAGCACGAACATAGTATTAAAAGCGACGAAGGAGATACTTTAACAGCATCGTTTTACGAAACTGAAGTCGTTCATTCTATCTGGGAGGCGTTGAAATGGAAACATGTACGGACTCAAGTACCGGCGTGCCTTAGGAAAACACTACGCAGTCGATATATGCTTGCCAATTTGGTATATTTAGTCTAAACCATTGGATTTCTTGTTATTGATTTTAGTTTTCCGGTCAATGCATCGACGTACACGGTATCGGCTAATGATACAGAAAACACATCTGATACTACAACAATGACGACTCCAATTCTAGATCAATCGGCGGGAGATCTTCCAATAGTGAATAGAATGTATTTCGGTAAGATTGAATTCAAAGTTTTGGTGAGAAACACGAATCTCATTCTGATTTTTAATTCTTCCGAGAATATGACTATAATAGGTCTGTATCAGCTCCGATACTAGAAACTGGCCAATTCGTTTCAGTTTCTGAGTATTCGAGTTGGTGACCAAGTTCAGCTCAGAAGAACTCTGTTCATCAGTTCTCTACAACTGAAACAGTCATAGTCCGAGTCGAGAAAGATGAGGATTCTATTGAATAGTATATACATATTACGATTTTGAGGATTATCAATTGTTCATCTCGTATCGGCCTTTTTGTATTGGTGGGCATGGGATGATCGATCATGGCGTGACGTTATTATGATACCTGAATATCTAAATCACATCGAAGCTGGGCTTTATATATGGTCAACTAGCTGGTATCCAAGACTCGGTACACTTGGAGGTTATTATGCAAGGACAATACACAAGATCGAGTTGACTGCGTCTATTGTGGATCTAGTAGCGAATTTTGGATGGTATGTAAGCGATTATATTACTTTTTTTCAATTAGAATTCTTTTTAAGCATTGATGAAGTGTAGACCAATTCTTTTTGCAGACAGGTTTCCGTAAACCTGCAAAATACAAACAGTAGACAAGCTTCATAAGCTTGCGAGACTACAGAGCTATAATTCGTTTCTTGCTAGGATCATGTCGTGGTATATGACTTACACACGTACCCTTGGTCGTGGTTTCACATTGGATGATCCCGATGTGATTGCTTTTTCAACAACGACAATCGCTGCAATCATTTATGTAGTATACAGCACTCAAGTTTACGTTCACCCAGAAGAATATAACGACAATATTTTGTATACTTATGGAGACATCATGTATTTTCTTGGTGCTTGTTACTATTTATTTGCTGGTTTGCGTGACAGTAATTGGCTTTGGTTTCTTCCCTTCGCAGGTCAATATGGTGTGGCGGCAGGCAGAGTACACGTTGAAACAAAGCCTCTGCCAAAAATTGGGCAACCAGTCGTGCTGATGACAGATTGTTGCCGGCGACGACCAAAGAAAAAAATTGAGAAAGCAGAAGAAGAAGAATTGAATGGACGCAATGACATTATCATTTCATATTTTTAAACTGTTCATTTTGTTATTTTCCCATGAAAATTCATTGAATAGATTAATATCTCTAAGAATATGTAAATCTATTTGGGTGAGGATGGTTCTTTGACTGTAGTTGTTTGAATATTGCTTCCAAAAACTATGAAGGATAACGCATCTATAGACGAGGAAGAAACAAAACAAACTAAGAAACGACAAGATTCTTTAATAGAATTAGCAGATATTCAATTTTTAATCGTATGATAATAACCCACAACAAAATTAAGGTCTTGATGGCAATGAAAACGAAAGTATAAATCAAGATGAATCTCAAATAACAAAAGAAAATTTTATCTTATTTATATCAAAATTTCTTTTCGGTGCCATTGTGTCCAAAAAGATTTGTTATAATTCGTCAATTCTTTTTGCGTTTCTGTGAAATTTGTTAATAAAAAATAGTTTTCGATAAGAATATTCTAGGAAGTGGTTATGTGCGCTCAGCTATGTATAATTATTAGCATGCCGAAAACCACATATTTTTACGTGTGAGGCAGCTCCACACGCGCATCCACACCCTCAAACGATGTACGTAGTAAGATTTAAATTGTATAGGACAATCAATCAGCATATCATGTCGCTATCAACAGATAATCATTTGTTATTTTACAAAATGAAAGAAATTGAAGGAAAAAAAACAAAATTATGGCATTGTGTGCACAGGTTTTAAGTCTCATTTTGAACAGCAGAATAGAAGAATATTCCTACGTTATTATCAATGATCCAATTAACTACTATCCAACCACTTTATCATATAAATCTCTCCAAGAATACATCGGGTCCCATTTCTTCTTTATTCTTCTATACCATTCAACGTCATAGATATTAAACCACTCTTTTTTTGAATAATAAGAAAGTGAATACAACATCTTTCGTCCACTTAATCTCCTAGCTTTTTATCTAATAGTTTTGTTACGTTTCTAACGTTAGAAGATCCGGATTGCCAACTAAATTGACGACTCCACAGGCAAAAATTGATGAATGATGAGTCTTCATTATTTCCACCGATGTTCTTAAAATGTGGACTCAATTTTTGTGGTGTATCAATTAAACGAATTGAACAAAGCCAGATTGGTTCAAGTACACCGTTCCCCTGCATAAACAACTTTTCTGATTGTAGAAAAGATAGAAATTCTTTTGATTTTGATTTAGGAATGTAAATATCTTGAATCAGTATAGTATCTGCAATTGTTGAAATTGGTGAAGCATGAAGTCGTTTGTAGAGTGAGGATGTGGTAAAAACTGGCGAAAGAAGTGTCCTACTAACAATATTATAGCTGCCGAATGGAAGAAAATTCAATATATTACGAATAGAACGTGGAAAATGTTGAACTATGTCTTGCAACGGATTCAGGGAATAACGTCCCCTCTAAAATGCCCCACGGGCATATCGAAATAAGTAATTCTTGAGTGATACGTATTCAGTGATCACTCTCAAGTCACTTTTACTGTAGAGTGCTTTGACATGTTGATAATACCACGGATCCCATGCTTTTGAAAATATTTGTATTTTTGGTGTCTTTGGTAGAGACAGTGGGTCAATTCTTTCTCCTGTAATAACCGCAGTGTAATCAGAAAACACAATAGCATCTACGTAATCTTCATGATTTAGAGATGATAAATATTCGATAGGTCGATTCGTTCGAAAGTAATTACATCGTACCAAACAGCCTGATTTCGCAGTTATTACACTTAATGTTGCAGTAATCAACAATGCAAACGTACCCCATGCACCCAGTGCTCCACAGAATAAATCAGAATCTTCCGTAGGACTACAAGTTATAACTCAGCCATCACTTAAAATATAAGTAGCTTCAATCAATGAATCACCAAATTGTCCATAGAGAAAACTCGAACTTTCAAGTCCTGTTCCAGCCAGTACGCGACCTACTGTCAACGATTTTAATTCTGGAACAACAACCGGTACAAGATTATACGGTAGTAGTTCATCTTGAGGATGTGGGTGTGATTGTTCGTGATGAGAACACTCACACCCACACCCAAATATAATAACAAAAAGCTTATTAGTGCAGCCGCTTTGGGGCTAAAATGCGGAACTCACATATATCCCTTCGGCTTACTAAAATAATTCAAAATAGTTCATCGGAAAAATCTATCCTGATTTCCAAAACCTATAATTAGGTCATTGCCTATTGTCTTATGTCTGTAATCGAGTATGAATTGTTAGCTAGTATATTTAACAATGTCAGATACTAGTTTCTATGGTCTGTAATGATACCCTAATTTAGTTACTATGGTCTGTAATGGGCAAGCATAGCTTTTTCGTGTAGTCTGTAATTAAAAAGGGAAGAAATAGCAGCCTAATTAGTCAAGCTCCTAATTAGCACAATTTTAAACTCATTGATGTCTGTAATGGGGAGGGAGGGGGGAGCCGCAAAAATCTCGCCTTCAAACTTACACTCACCATTTTCTTCGAAAATATATGTGAGTTCCACAAAAGAAGCGTGACTATTTTCTGGCGTTTAGCAATATAGAATTCAGATATTGTACGAAAGAGTGAATCCTGAATTTTGTGAAATCTAATAACTTGAAGCGAATCTCAATAAACTGCAATGAATTTACTACGAGATTCGTTGAAGTTCATTAAGATTCTAACATCATTAGCTCCTAAGCCTGTTATTAAGCAACTCAATAGGATTTGTGGTCGATAAAAAAAGAAATATCAAACAAATAGACCTAATTCGGAACATATAGAAGGAAACTGAGATGATTGAATAAGGAAATCATGGAAATCTATTCAAGTCTTAAAAAGTCTTTTTATATTCTTTTCGTCGTTCCATGGAACTCATGGGATGGGATGGGACGAATCATTTGGTCCTATGGAACGATTTTTTCGTCCCATCCCATTGTAACCGGAGCTCTGATCACTACCCAGGATGAACGTTACGACGGTCGTAAACGATCGTATACGATCGTATTTCGTCGTATTACTTGACTCTAGAATTACGACCGTAAGTCGTCGTGTCGTATACGACGAAATACGGCGTGTTACGTTGGTCGTATACGATCGTAAATATGATTGAACACTGCCGTAAATCATCGTATGATGGCTCTTTAAAGATCTTATATGGAACCAATGACTAGTTTTTATCTAATGTAATGAATTTTATACTAGACAAAGATATTTTTTTTTGATTGTTTCACTTTCAGTGAATTTAGTTATACCAGGTTCCAATCGGTATTTATTTCATCTATCTTAGTATTTACAAAATCATCTTGTTTCATAACAATAAAAAAATACAACTCAATTAAAAAAAAATGTTCATTTATCGAATTCATGAGGGACTGGACTGGCTATAGTGCGTTGCATTGTATTCTGTTTAAGTAATTGTCGAGTTACTTGAACATCTTCTCGACGCCTTTCTTCAATTAAAAAGTCGGTGAGTTTTCGCCGTAATAAACTTTTATAAAATAAACCAAAATTGACCGAATCTAATTTGAATTTGAATCGA